TTTTTCACCGTAATATATAAAGTAGCCCTAAAAATATATTCATTGATCTCAAAACATTGTTAAAGTAAAAAATATGCAAAAGGCTTGCGGAGAATAACTGCTGAATGACACTTTTTCTTCAGCGGTTAGTATCTGAACATTCCTCATCGAGGAGCAGAGCTCCCACTTGATACAACCCAAATATTTTTTCCCCCAAGAAATATTTTGTCTTTAACTAGCAACTGAGTTCTTCTCAAGTATCTCTTTAGACAGTACAAGATGCCTTTTTAAAAGCACTAGAAAAAAACCTTAAATATTTTAAGAATAAAATCCAGAATAGAGGCATGTCTTTTGTCCCAGAAAAGAGCTGACCTTTAACCATACCCTGTTTTACAGCATGTGTTTCAGTTCTGAATACAAGCCAGCCCCTGAAAGGTGAGGAATGTGAGACTTCCTTTGGGAGGATCATCACTGGTAAACTACATGGGTTTTTAAAGTTTCTGCTGAGACGTGCAGCCAGTGCTACAAAAGACAGGAAATTGGGACCCCCAAGGACATATGGTCCAATTGCTGTATAGGCATTCTTGTTACGGATTGATGAGGGAAATCATCTTCATAGATGATGAGGGAAATCTTCTTCGTATCATTTTTGTAAGAGTATTCAGTTTCAGAAGCTACTAAAGTTATTCAGCAATCCCTTTCCTTAAAACTTTGACTTAAAATATAATCAGTTGTGAATTTTCATGACTTGGTATTTTAGGATACAGTCTGAAACTCACAAGGAAAATATTATTACCCCAAAAACAATTAATGGAAAATAAATCCTAACATTAAGACTACCAATAAAAAACATTGTTATTAATGAAAAACAACAGAGTTCATCCTTATCTGTGGATGGTATTCCATAAAAAAAAAAAAAAAAAAAGCTTAGTTAAATAATCAATTTAAAGTAAAATTCAGCTACAATGATTAACTTAGAGGAGTTTTTCAAAAGAACTTTAATAAACCTTCAAAGCATTAGAATTCAGAAATAATGCCTTTAAAGCCATTACCTGAACTTTTCCCCCCCCCCCCCCGCCCCCCAGAAGGAGCAGCAGCATTCTCATTGCAAACACCTCTCCTATTCCTGGGCCAACTAAATTACATTACTAACTCTCCACATTGGTACCCAAATCAATTACAAGCCTCAGGGTAGTAAGAGATGTTCATGTACTCCCTATTCATCTTTGCTTCAGGGTCTCGAATGTCTTGCTGACTGCCTTCTATTTCATAAGGAAATCCAGCTTGCAACCTTCCATAGCAACTTAGAGTTACCATTACAGCATTTACATAAAAAGTTCTAGTAATAAATACAACGCCATGGAATAATTGAAAAAACAATAGGTATGTAAAATCTCAGTAAAGACAAGTAATTTTAGCTTGAAGTAATGTAGGTGAAGTCAGGTACAAGTGGGAGATATAGCACTGACATATTACAGATTCCTTAGAATAACATTAGTGAAGAGTAAAATTTATGACGTCCTTTTTCAAGAACCATTTGGAGTTCCAGCATAAGGAAAAATAAATCTACATTTCAGTAGCAAAAATGAATGATAACTAGATTTTGTGCAATGCTTTTTGCACATGAGGCAAATGGGAGATAATGGAACTTGCCAACCATCTGGTATGCGTTAGAGTGTCATCAGATTTTCTGCATCTTATGGTTATGTTAAAACTTAAATAATACTATATTTTCATTATAACTGCTTTCTGTAATAGATTACTTAACACAGAATGGCCTTGGCATTGAAAAAAGCTGAGACAAAATCTTGTTATGTGCATGGCTTTTAGCTAAAATTATTACTGCTGTCCTATTTCCTTCACAAATTTGAAGCACATGCTTCATTTAAGAACAACATGCAAAAGCAACATATGTTTGGAAACTGGAATCTTAATGATGAGATTTCTCTTACATTCAAAGTAGCTTCAGTTTGACTATTTATTAATGTGTGAAAAAATGGTCTCAAATATTGTTTCAGAAAAGTATGAAACATGCTGCATTTACTGCAGAAATAAAAACTAAATGAACAAAAGGAAAAAAAAATCCAAGCTGTTGCATTTGGGTAAATTATACTAAATCCAAATGGCACACAATCTGATATTTGTGGTATTTGCCTTACAGAATAAAAAATGCAGCTGTTAAGGAGAACACTAGTGTAACAATTAAGACAATTTAGGATCCAAATCGAAAACAAAACAACACAACAACAAAAAACCACTGCATACAAGATCATCCAAACTGTACTTCTAACCTGTGTGAAGCCTGTGAGGTTGCCTAAATTTTCATTTAATAAGGACAGGAGAGCTAGAAAACATTTAGCTTGGCATATCTCCAGTTCTTCATTTCAGGAACTATTATGGTAATCCACAGACTTAATGGGTTATTAAAAGCAGCTTGGTAAACTCCTTGCCAGTACTCGAATGAGTACATGCCATGTTTACACAACCCATTTTTCTCCACAGTTACTGAGATTTCAGATGTTCTGTACTTAAGCTGCAGCCTATGACCAATTTAAGCTGCAGCCTATCACTAACATAAGTATACTCATGACAATTAACAAAGTTATGGAGACCACTTCACAGGAACAACACAAACAAATGAAGAAATTGAGCCCACAGCTTTTCCAAAGCAAAGCCACTAATTTCATCTGTGAGCTGGGATGTTAGCCTTCTCACAAACCATGTAAAATATATATTCTGCATCTGAGGCAGCAATGAATGCAAAGTTATGCAGAAAGATGACCCTACCTGTCAATGCCCCCCTGAAGATTAATCATTTATAACTATTTCTGCTATCAAATACAGACTTATTGCAAAGAGAGAGATTTTACACTGAAGCTTTGCACTTCTGGATAGGGAAAATATTATGCAATATCATTAACATATAGTATTTATCTGTAAATGAAACAGAAGTCATAAAGTGTTTTGTATCAGTATTAAATTATGATGGTCAGCACACTGAACTAGCAGATGCGAGGAATTCGGCAAGGAACACATGTCCTTACAGAAGGATTATCATGGAAAGACAATCCACAACAGCTGTCAGGTCAAACTGCCTTACTGCCACTCGGATAATAACCAAGTATTGAAGCATGTATGGCAGACACACCAAAGAAAGGTTCTCAGGAATTAGAAATTTGTCTGTGAAAAGTTCTGAAAACCAGACTGTGATTACGTAAAACTGCACTTTGATTACCTAACCTAGCATTTAAGTTTAGAGTGATGTTAGCATATGGCATCTTTTGAGACCAGACCAAGATATCCTTCCTTTTCAGAGAGGAGATTCAATGCCACTCTCAACTACTCAATATTTATGGATAATTATTTCTACAATAGTTTTCTTTAAGTTCTACACTGTCACTTAGACCACCTGTGTGTGTTAAAAGCCAAATTAACTATTCCCACTTCCATTTTGGGGTAAAGTTTGTCTACACTGTTCTCAAGTCTCCTAAGAAAACTCTGCAACTTCCCCAGATCATCTACTACAGAACTTCATTTTTGCTTGCTATACAGATTTGTTTTTTTCTGCAGTCAAGGCTAACTTATCCTTGTAATTTAAGGACATTACTTAGGATGCTATCTATCCTGGAAAGGTAACAGATTCCTTCAATCTGTCTTAGATAGCCAAATGTATTAATCATGTTCTTCCATCTCCATCTCCTAGCTTCCCTTCTTCTTTTTGATTAATAAGGCCTTGTGAGGAAAATCATTATCAAACTGCTTCTTTTTATTTGCTATAGCTTGACTTCCTGTGTAATAAAGGCTGAACTGCACCTGGTGATTTCCCTCAAGAGCTTTGCAGCATAAAGCTTTTTACCTCCCATATATCTATGTTACACATATATCTATGTGAGATACACTACAGAATTTATTTCAAGGATCTAGACAATGCTTCCTTGGCAGTTTAATACTTTTACCTTCCTGAGTTCCCAAGATCAGCAGAAAAGCTGATCTGACCGTGGCAGTTTAGCAGTCAGCTGCCACACAATTCCTGCACACTGAGTAAATGGTAGATCCAGGCATTCAGCACCTTCAGTCCAAGGCATCTTCATGCTGTGTCTACCTTTCATACACTTTAAATCACATCCTTCAGTGTCATTACCTTTTACTGTGCAGTTTTTAATCAACAATTGTATATGCTAAGCATTTTCTCAAGCTCTAGTTATTCCTAGTGCTCCATAAGCAGGTGATACTTCTCCCATCTCCCGTCTCCCACAGGGTACCACAGATGCCCTTTCACATCTCAGCTAGTACTCACAGCGTACAAATGTGCAAACTGCTCATTAGTCTAGAACCCAACTAAAGTCTTAATTTCTAAGCTCCTCATTATTTGAGTTGCTCAGATAGAAAAATAAAACCTACTTTTTTAGATTCTCAGTATGTTTTCAATTGTAAATACAGCTGGTGATAATATATCCTAATGTGTGAAACCTTACTCTAATTTACTTTTATCACTAATACTGTTTTATTTCATCACTTATCAGCTTCTCAGACAAAGTTTGTATATTTGAATTAATTTGTTTCTTGTGCATCTCCAGTTATCACACACATGCTGATACTGAAGCATTACTTAGAGAATGAAAACATACTTTTGCAAGCCTATCCAGAGCTTTAGGAATCTGATAATTTAATATTCCAGCTACCAAGAAGATACAACATATTTCTCTGTGACCATGTCATTATTTCATGTGTTTTAAATTCTTTAAATATTGTCACATATTTGCAGGTGGGTGGGGATGGGGAGAAAGGTTTGGAAGTAAAACCTAAGAGTTCTCACAGTAATTTTTAACTTGTATAATTAAACTCTAAATATATTTTTAATACTGTAGTTTTTAGTTTCTAGTAGTCAGATACCTCTTACACTAGTACATCAAAATACATCAGCATTACTTCTGATGAAGTGGAAGAGCATTTCTGAGTGAATCATTTCCTCATTTTAGAGACTATCTGAAAATAAATTAATAAAAAAAAATATGTACTACCTTGTCACTTTACAGCTTGACTCAATCAGGTCACTTTCAATATCCAGACTAGAAGGCAGATTGTATTCCAAAGGTGAAGCCAGTCTTTTTAAACGCAGTAAGGCAAGGGAGAACTTGGCTCCCATCTCCTCCAGTTCTCTTGTCCCTATCTGCAATCCCTAATTTAAAAATAAGATTTAAAAAGATAAAGATAGGTACATGCAGATGGACCCCAAAATACTGTAGCATTATACAAAACATAGTATTTTTATTACACTTTTGCTTTAAAAACAGAAGTATCAGAAGAATTTAAGAATAAATGTTAAGAAGAATATTAAACACAAAGGGAATAACAGCTGGATTCCTCTAAGATAGAACAGACATTTCTGGAGGCTTCAACATTTCTTCTGGGCTTCTTCGTCTATCCTTCTAACAAATGAACATTAACAGGATTTACACATTTGCATCGGAAGACAAAAATCAAAGATTTCATCTAAGTTTAAAAATTACAAAATAATAAGAGATGAGACAAAATTCAAAAGTGGGATGGAATACACTAAGATTTAAAATATAAAATTGTTCAACAGAAAGTACTGTCAGAATAAAAACAATGTGGATGTTATCAAGATCACTCATGTTTTAAGACATAAATAAGACAATTTAAGACAATAAAGTTAATCCCTGACAAAAATTATCTCTTCCTGTTTTGCAAGATGAAGATTACATATGTTAATTCTGAAAGCATTTACTCATACATCTATTCACACACACAGAAAAAGAAAAAAAATAAAATATTCCACCCCATAGTGCCTTCTACCTTAAATGAGAGAGAAGGACAATTTTGTCTTTATGTAAATTTAGGAGGTGGAATGCATTTATTATTCTCTAAATTCATAAATGTGACAGAGACTCCCATCAGCTAACTATATACATTGAATCAGCAGTACAATATATACATAAGGAAAGAACATCCGACCACATCTCATTCCTTAAACCAGAATGACACTCCAGAATGGCTCTCAGCAATTACATAATTGGCTAGTAAGGACAGTATAAACAATAACAAATTTAATGTCGCAACCACTCCCACATATGAACACGCACTTCTGGATCTCAGATGCATTTGTATTTCTTCTAAATCTTTTATGGGAAAGGGAAGGTAAAAAAAGGAGCTTTCACAAAACAAGCAGGGAAGCAGAAAAACCAGGCAATGGTGACAAGCTGTGTCATCCAGTAAGAAATACGCAAAGCAAATAGACACTTTTTTGCCTACAAGCTAAAGAACATACACACAAGCTTTTACACTGCCACATCATTAAACAACAAGTTCAGAAGTGCTATTTCTCCAAAATGGTAGTCTGTAGCATTCTTTACATGCTCCTATTTTGAACATATGAAGAAAAAAAAAATGGGAAGTCTGACTTGATTTTTCCTGTGAATTCTCTTTTCCTCAATAATCTTCACAAATAAGGCCCTTTTAGTAACCAGAAAACTGTATTCACTGTACTAGGCAGTGCCATCTCCAGCCAAGCGCTGCAGAAACCTCCTAGTAGCAAACAGGAATTGGATAGTTGAGTATTATTGTTAATATGAATTCTACTTACCTCTTTCACAGTGCTTTTATGCTGTAGATTTCAAAGCACATTATCAATAAAGGAAGAATTATCCTCACTTTACTGATGGAGAAATGCAGGCACAGAAGGTTGAAGCGATTTGCACAGTGTCTCACAGCATGTCACTGACCCCGCTGGGAACAGAAATCAGTTTTCCTCACTCTCAGTGCTCTACCTCCACAGAGGCCTTTTTTTTTTTTTTTTTTTTTGGGTATTTCTTTGCCCATCAGTAACATTTGAAGATCCCAGTTATAGCTGGGTCTCCACTATTCTAATCACAGGAAGGTGCAATCCCTGCCCCAAAGAGATTAAAATAACATTAAGGAAAAGAGGTAACAAATACGTGGAAAAGGAAGGAGAATGGTAACAGTAATCTCACTGTTACATGGACTATCATGTGTGTAACTTGATGGTTCAGAAACTTTTCCCATCATTGTCTCAATCTGCCACTGAAAAAGTCATCATTAGTTTGCAGATTCTTTATGAATAGTAAAAGTGTCTCTTAGGTAGGAAAAGCACAGAGTACATTATGAAAGAAAGTGCAAAGACAAATGTTAGAATGATAAATAGCGTGTGCATATTCCACAGCTGCTACTACCAGCACAGGAGAAAGAGTAAATTACTAGACACATGTAACTGAATCGGATGGGAGATGGTAAAGTATCCTGAGGGCAATGTTTGAACTTGCTACACTGAAGGGCACATAAACTTGGAACAGCAAACTACACTGATGTCTAATCTTGATTTTGCCACTTCTTTGAATCACAGTGGAGAATCTAATACTACAAGGCTGCCAAACACCAAACTTAATCTGTTGTTATCCTTCCATCAAACAAACATTCCACCTTTCCATGAAATGAGGGTCCCAAAGCTTACTTCAGTTAATATAACTGCTATTATCTGCTGAAGGAAGGCAGGTAAAGTTCATTTTCATCAAAGTCTTCTTTGTACTTCTCTTCCTGATCTTCTGAATACTTGCAAGTGCTCCTGTGGCCTGTTACACTTCATTAAGTGTTAAAAATTTTACTCTTCAGCACAGGCACAGCTTTCTAAAGTACATACAGATTTTTTTGCTAGCTGAATTTTTTTAGTTCATTCTTATTTCTTCATATTTTATGCAATTAACTCTCTTCCAGGCAGTAACATTTTAGAACATGAACTGAAGTCTTCAACACTCAATACAACATGAAAATACCAAAAATGAAACACAGGCATGAAGGACTTTTACCTCAAGTTGAGATGGGTCTTCCTATAACATATTTAGCATGTTCTAAACATCCATGTTAGATTTACAGAAGTCACTTGTTTAGTAAAAGATCCTGTTCTCCTCATTTGCTACTCAGGCTACTCAGGCTACCATCTTAGAGAACTCAAGATCTTGAGACTGAAGGATCACTGGAACCAACAAGGTACTTCCATTGACTGAAACTTTCTTTTTTTTAAATAAAGTCTTCTCTTTGTGTGCACCAAAATTTATAGATAATAGCAAGCTTCTCTATTAACTCAAAAGATTAATCTATATTGTCTATTATCACTTAATCCCTAAACTGGAATGAATTAATGATTGTTATTATTGAGTTTTCAATTTATATCCAAAAATCGTACACATTGAAAAACGTTTAAGATCTTTTTCTTTTGTCCAGTATCTTAATAGCACTCCATACTGCTTGGTCCTTGGTAACTTTTCTCCTGGAGATTCACTTTTCCTGCACTGAATCACGGACGAGTGGCCAATACGTGTGACACATTCTCAATGTACAACAAAGACCCTACAGAAGCAGCTAAAGTGAGATAAAGTGAGCTTCCAGAGATAATTCCGTTACCAATGATCTTAAATTCAGGTAAGAAATGCCAAATTCATCTCAACAGTTTTCTCGCTTTCTGACTGAGTGTAATTTACCACCACTGTCTGAGCAAAATAAAATAAAACGCTAAATTGACGTTTTGATATTATACCCAGCTTTGACAGAGACCCATCATTTGTTTCACAAAGGATAGATGTTCTAAGTAATCGTTTTTATGCCTTGACAGATTTAAGGATGATACTAAGTCCCATGAATGGAAAAAGGCATTTCTGGAATGCAGGCAATACATTATTCTTTGATTTAAAATATCATGTAATTTGAGGTGGGAAGTAGGAAGAGAAATAATTGGGAAAAAACATTTTCACAAAAAAAAAAAAAAGAACAAAAAAACTCATGTATTTTAAAAGATGTGAACAACTTCATACCACAAATTCATTCACGAGGCTACTGGTTCCACTCCTTTCCTATGAAAAAAGGTGAATCTGTTTGATCTTTTTCACTGGAGAAATTTTGCACTTGTTCTATCAAGTAATCTTAGACTTTCAGGCACATTTTCTTATTTAGACAAGGATTACTATGGTGAAGAAATCATAAAAGGTTTTCCTGTATGTTTAGAGAATGTTAAGATCTTGCACACTGTTTGATTCCAAAGAAAATGAATGACATAACAACAATTGGACTCTGTCTGTAAACTAGAGTAATTCACATAATGTAGGAGATATTTTAAGTAGTTCATGTTTTTGACAGAGTTCAGCTCCTTTATCACCTTTGAATTGAAGGTTTGATCATAAAGTTTCATGAGACAAGCATCTTAAGTTTGTCCACAAACATCTCAGTTTGCCTTTCTGAAGAACTTTCTGTAGCCACACTGCTAAAGCCACGAAAGTTAAGTTTGCAAGAATATTCTGGTGTTTCACATTAATTGATCTAGATGAGTTGTCATTTCTAAGTTTCAAAATATCCCCTGAAATTAAAATGCAATATTCTGGAAGTGGCAATAAGAGCATGCTTCTGTTGTCAACTGTCAGAATTCATTCTCCTAGTAGTTATAGACATACTAAAATTCCTACCAAAATCTTCCTACCATTCAACCATTCAAAAGGGTAAGCATGGATGCTAGAACACACAATAGCTTTATCTTTTTATACTTTATTTCCTTTCTTTTCCTACTTTTTTGGTCCTTCTTTTCATTTTTTTTTCTGGTTGAGCACCTTATTTGAGGCTTGCAGTCATTTTCTTCTTCGGTATTTCTAAATTTTTTAAGTAGAAGAAACTGCTACTTCTTCCATGAATGTCCAATTTTCAAACTTACTTTAATTTGTAACTTAATCCAGTAGTAGAAGCTGAAGAACTAATGTTCTTCTACTCTTTTTCATTTTCATTAGTGTTTCATTATGAAATAGGTTTTCTGTTACATGAAAAACACGTGGCCACCCTTTGTTTCCAAGCTTGTTCTCAAGTTTGTTTGCAGCACTTCTAGCACGCTTTTGAAGAAGAAAATTTGAAAATAAGAAGTGTAACTATTATAATGACTTTACTTAAAAATGTACAATTTGTAATGTCAGTAGCCTGTTATTAGAGAAGTCTTGATCTGTAAGTGTGATTCTGAAACTAATTCTTAAAAGAATGATACTAAACACTTGTTGAATAGCCATGAACTGACATAGTGAGGTCTCAGGCTGACACATAGGAAGAAAACTTTTATCTCCTATTTGCATTCATTATTATCCAATTGTAATAATCTACTAGAAAGAACAGTTCTCTGAAATATTTTTAATACATGCATTTACAGGTGTCATAAGCAACCATTAATAGCAGTCTTGTTAGTACAGCCAAACAGCCTAACATGTATGCAGTGGTATTACTTTAAGTGACAGATGAAGACAGTTGCACAACCTGTAATACTGCACATAACATTATTTTTCTACAACATTGGAATACACAAAGTTCTTAGGAGTCTTAGAAATTAAACAAACGCAAGCAAGCTGAGTTATAGAACATGATTCCAATGCAGAAGTAGAAATTAAAGAATAAGAATTGTTCAGTTGATACAGTTCCTTACCTTATATTTACCCTGGTCACATCCACATAATGTGCTTTCCATTGTGTAGCTTCTTTGTACTCCTATTTCTCTCCAGACAACAACCCGTGCTGTTGATTCCTTTGACTTTTCCACCACAAAGCTGCAGCTGCCCATGCAGAATGCCGGGGCAGTCTGACTGAGAATCTTAGGGAGCACCTGCAGGAGTAATAATTTGAAAAAGACAGCAATTCTTCCATTTTATTTATGACAGGAAAAATAGAAGTCGCAAACTTATCAGTTAATTTTGCTCAAGTTTGAATTTGAAGAATAATGAGAATACTTCTTTAGCTGGAGTTTTCAAAAGCCAGTAGGCTCAAGTGATAGTAAGTTTTTCCTTTCTTACCTGCTTAAATCCTCTTCTGTAGACCCAGTTACTAAACGAAACATTAGTCATACGCATAATAATCATAAAGGAATTATTCACACAATTCCCATCTCCTCCTAATTTACCCAGCTAACTTTGCTCAAATTAAGCATGCTACACATCCCATGCAATTAAGAGAACGGTAATCCAGACTTCAAATGGGTTCAACAATCCCATTTGACCTAATATATACAATATTTTATTAATACGTAAAATCAATCTCTATTCAGCAGAGCCTTAAGCATCTACTTAATTCCAAGTAAATACAATCGTTCGCTTGACACCTCTAGAAAATGACAAGAAACAGTTATGCAAATACATGTATTATATAATTTATCTTAAATGCCTTCATTTTTGTTCAGCTTTTATTTATACCAAGTTAACACGAAGTACATGGCCACTTTGATTTTATTATTTCAATAGTTTATGTTAGTGTAAGTTTGCCAAAATATTTTAGTCTTCATTTTTTGAAACAAAAATATTTTTCTGGCACAACACTTATTGTATATTGTGTTTTGTATGTTATGACCATGCAGGTGTAAATATCATGATCCCACAAAAATAAGCAGAGCAGCAACTGTGAATGACAACAGATTCAATATCCAGGAAATGGTACGTGAGACAGGCTCAATAGCAACAGAATTACTTAATAAAACTCTGAAAGCATCTATACTATCTTTACAAGTTTAGAGTCTTTACATGCTTAAGAAGACTTTTAATGTATCTTCACATGCTCAATGGTCTAACTGGATTTAAAAAATAGGTCCAAGACACTGAGTTGCACAGATCTGCCACAAGGCGGCGGTGAGGTTACACGGAAGAGTCTTACTGACGGCTGGTATTCTACGAATTATTAAAAGCTTATACAATGTCCTGGATGTTGTTTGTCCCAACCTGTTACATGTGTGCACTAGGGACATACGCATTAACTACATATATTATAAGACTATTTTTGCCTCTTCCCATACAAAAAAAAAAAGGAGTGGGGGCTCATATTTCACAGAGCACTTCTGTACTTTTCTTACAATAATCCTTGCCATGCTTAAAGGATTCTATTTTCATTCACTAATTATAAACGGACAGAAGTGTATTTCCCATGTATTCACTATAAGGTAATACTGTCAACTAAAAAGCATACAGCAATACCCTTCCCTCTTCCCGCTCCCCGCCCCCCCCCAAAAAAAAAAAAGAAAAAAGAATTAGGGTACTATGAGTAAATTTTAAGCTGCATTAGAGCAATGTTTAAAACTCTCAAAATATTTCAAAATACATTAATGAACCTGAGATATTTTTCTAAATAAGCCTAGTTACGGCTGTAGAGCCACGTAAGTGAATACCACTAACATATTCCAAATTCATGTCAAATGTCAAAGTGTCCAACTTTTATGAGTTTCCAACTTACCCTGTAACCAGAGTCTTCAATCAAGTCACAAGAGGAAGAACTAACATTAGTGTGCCACATTGTCTCTTTTATACTGCAGCCATACATAAACACATTCTTTTTACGAGAATGACCATGATAATCACAGTAGACCTAAAAGAAATAATTCAGCAAAATGAAGCCAGAGTGCATCACCTTAATAATATTAACATTAAAAAAGTCCTTATTTCTTATATTATTATGTTCATATTTTCATTTAAGTTCCAAATGTTTAGGAAATACTGTTTATATGATCAACTCATGCCATAAGAGAAAAATATCAGATGCTTTCTAAATAAGGTTTAAGCTTCTATGCTACCGACAGGAAAAAGGCATAAATGTTTGCAGAAGATCTCCAAATCACATCTGCAATACAGTCTACATGAACCTAATAAGAAGTTCATCTTATAGACTAGCTGCATAGAAAAAAAAATAATCAGAATTTCTTACAAGACAAAAATAGTTATGTATGGCTTACCCATACATACTCACCAGTGGTAAACGTTTTATAGAAGACAGATACTGCAGTAGGCCTTTGGCATGGTAAATTGTGGGATGCAGATCTGGATTTGGATTTTGCCATTGTCTGTTTAAATCCTCTCCACTTAAGGAGCAACGGTGGCTTTTTGGAAGAAATAAATAAAAATAAAAAAATAAAAATAAAAGGCATGAAGAAGTGTTTGTACCATTGTAATTGTTTTGAAAAAAAATTTCCTTCCTAATTCAAGATTTCTTTGTTGCCTACTACTTCTTTGGAAGAGTCCAACGCCAAAGGACACTTTAAAACAAAAGAAAAAAAAACTTCAAAGCAGCTGTGCTTCTACATAACTATCTACACCTGCTCAAGATTGCTGCTCAGAGAGGCAACGAAAGTGCAAACTCCAGTGAGAAGGGACTATCACTGCAAAACAAATACAAAGATGGTTTTACAGTGGACCATATTTCTGCAGGAAAAATAAAAATTCTGAGAAAGTATATCATCACAGTTTTATAAGGATTTTTATAGTACATACATTTGAGTATTGCATTCCTGTGTTTTTAGAATTCATTTGTTTATTGTTTTATTTTTGTATTTTATTAAATTTTATTTTGAATTATTGTCTTCAACAACAGATGCCATGACTTAGTATTAACAGCTTATACACAGCTTACACATTTGCAAGTAAACTTAAGCTTACTTTCCATTGATGACACCATCTGGATTGAGCATTGGAATAATTTTGAAAATATAAGATTCTCGTAAGCTTTGGGCACTTGGATTATTGCTCATAAGATACTCCAGCGTTCCCTTCATAACCCAACTTGCATTTGTCTCTCCAGGATGTACACGAGCAGTTAGGAAAATATAAGGACGATTCCCTAAAAGGAATATAAATGTCACAAAATATAATACTAGCTAGTTTAAAGGTTTGTTTACAGAAGAATTAACCATTTTCTTTATTCAGTACAATGCAAAGTGCAGTATTTTATTTTTCAGTGCATTCATACGAATGAAACACTCTTAACAAACTTAACCAGAACATTTTTAGAAGGACTGCTAATTACACAGGTGACTCAGTGGAATTTTAAATTCAGTCTGAGACAATTACATGGTCACAATCAACTGAAGACGGCAATTAGAATGCCAGATACTTTTAAAGGTTCTTTTTAAACATACTAGGAAAATATCAGGGAAGCCAGACTGAAGAGGGTTAACCAAGAATACTCTTACAACAAAAGCACACTTCAAGTCTCAGTAGCTGAAGCTTTTCACCATGAATTTATTTTTGGCAAGCTGACTTCCACAGCTTTTGGGCAGAAAAGTTAGTGAAACATTAGGGGTTTTTTTTCCCCTCCAAGAAGCACTATCAGCAAAGCATAACAAACAGAAATTAAAATTCCCTTACTCAAATATATGTTTTTAAATATAAAAGAAATCCTGAACACCAGCATCTTCTAATATCATGAAAGTCATTAAACTAACTTTACATTGTATTGCTTAAAGCACACAGGAACTGTCTTTTTTTTTTCCCCATAAAGAGCTGGTTTACCATTATTTCCTGCTGACAAGAAAGAGAAGTCATACTTACTGAACTGACAGACATGTTCATAGCTATTTGACTCTGGCATGGCTGTAATAGTGACTATCGGACAACTGTTGCCAGCCAGTGTCTCACAGAGAGCATCATGCCGAAAATATATCTGCTGAGGGTTGTGCATGGATTCCAATTTCTGTAGATGCATCTTCATCCCCAAAATAATGAAAAGATACTTCACATCTTTTGTAATCATACACAAGTGTACTCTACAGATATTATTTATTCCATTTGCTGTTGTTGTTGTTGTTATAGTTATGAATAATGCTAAAGCTTCCACAGTATTTTGAAAATGAAATATCATTCTCTGCATCTCCAAATAGAGATGCATCTCTGCATAGCCAAATAAATTCTTTATCTGTTCTTACAATTGCTCTGAAGAAGATGAAAAGTGCAAATTTTCTACAAGGTGAAACTTCTTCTAAGATTTTAGTAAACTAGTAAATTGTTTAGTAAATAGCTCTAGTGAATACTGGTATACAACAACCATTAAATCCACAAGTATGCTCTTGCTACTATGACAAAAAAAACAAATGCTATGACAAAAAAAAAACTTGTCTAAGACAAAGCATTCTGTCCAAGCATTTTCTCCAGGACTCAATGCTTTACAACACTCCTTTCTCTTATTTACTATCCTACAAACGCTTGTCACTATCTTCAATATAACAGTTTGCATAGGTCAGTTATGAACTTGCGCAGATTAGCAGGATAAGAGTCATCTGACTCACTAAAAAACACGACATTCAATGCCCAAAGATTTTTCTAACAAATATTGTTTTGAATCCTAAAAAAAACAGCACATACTCTATTTATTTTGAAAAAAAAGGATCATTTTGTTTCCCAGGATCCTTTCTTTAGTAAAAGCTACATTCCTTGTCATTTTATATCAAGATAGCATGAAAAACTCTCCAATTATTTCACAAATGCCTATCATCTGCATTACATTACTTCTCCTAAGTATAAATGGTTACCTATGTAACAAATCACAATCTTCCCACCTTTAAGGTCGAATAGGTATATGGATAATGATAAGCAAAGTAGCAGACATCATCCTTATGTTGGAAAGTCACTGTGAATGTAATTGTGTAATAAGATTTTCCTTTCTGACCTCCAGCGGCAATAGAACTTCTTGAAAAGTGGTTCCTAACAATATAACAAAAATAATAAACATATTTAAATACTAAGAACCATAACAAAGGGTAACAAACTTAATGGTAACTTCTCTTAGTATATTCTCTTTGTTCTAAGATTACTTTAAAACAGCTGTACAATAAATTCTCAAAAGACTAATCACAGATGACATCTGACTAGTATTACTGCATGTCACCAATAACATTTTAAGTGTGCACATATACATTCCATTAAATATTTCTGTACAATAAAATGCAATTTATGGCGAAAAGGAGTACACAAGTGAACTACTTCAATGACAGCAGAGTGTTAACAAAGTGACAATCTATATATTCTGATCACTTCTGTTATTTCTCCATAATAACTAAGCAAGCGTCATTAAGGAGAAAAGTTGTATTCACAACAGAACTATGGAAAGAAAAACAAGAGCAAACATTTCTTGTCAGCAAAAATTCTCACAGTCATCTTCAGTAAAAGATCTTTTTGTTATAGTTGCTTGGTACTTACTTGTAGTAACAAATATCTGTCCCAACACGAGTCCAACACGGTCTAGAATGTAATGCTTCCTGAACAGAATACATGAGCGGTTGCATACCTTAAAAAAAAAAAAAAAAAAAAAAAATCATTTTAATGTAAAGACAGCACTCTTTAACATTGCAATGATAGGACCAGACAAACAATTTTTATGCAATTCTCCAATCTAGATATGCATTTCAACTTCATATCACAGAATATAGAAAATCAGAACATGCTCTTTCATTCAAAAGATTATCAAATCTTTTTGGCCTATCAAATCCTAATTAAAGACAGAAACAAAAACCTATTCCATTTAACTTATCATTCTGAAAGGTCTCCAAAGAGAACATAAAAGACTGCACAGTTAGAAAATGCAGGATTTTCCAATTGGTTAAGAGATTATTATTTGGTTAGATCATATAAGTTCATTGTAAAAGTGCAAATATTTTAAGTAAATGGTTTTATATGCCCTATTTCCGAGCAACATTTAAAATGTTCATATCTTAATTAAATGAAGTTGAACACTTTAAGAATATGATGTTATTTTGTCCCAAGCGTTTGAAGAAGGTGGAAGGAAAGTTTCTCTTCCTTCTCCTTATAGGACTGAAAGGGAGAATTGTACAAAATTGAGTGGGAAAAAAATCTCACCGGAGTATTTTTAAGCTGAATGACCTCCCTTAGGCAAATGGAGAAAAAGCTTATTGCACTGTCTGATGCACAAACAGCAAATGCTATGAGATAGAAACTGCAGAGGGTCACATGTGAAACATTTACATTTGAAAGAGAACCTTACATTTCCTTCTCATACATGCAGTAAGAAAAGCTCTCTAAGACTATGTACTTTTTATTGCACTTCTCAAAAAGGTATCTCAGTACTTACGAGTGGAATTAATGGCACCTACTTCTAATTCTTTCATGTTTGTTGACTGACAAGATTTGTTGTCCCTTATCACAAATAGTCTTAAGGCTGACAACTGCAGTTGCCAGTAAAATTCTTTTCTTTTGGCTTTAATCACATCAATACTTCATTTTTAAATCTGACAGCCAGTGTTTTCAGATACATCTTTTTTTCTTTTTAACTGAAAACAGTCATTTTCTAGTGTGCCTGCTACTACTAAAAAAAAGGCATAGATGTGATCTGTTAAATCCTCGGAGGGCATGACACACAGCTGAGCACTCCTTTTCAGATATTTTACCACATACTACTTCTTGAAGAATGGGAAATGCATCTTACCATAGTTAAATTGACTGTTGGACTTTTCACAGTTGATGATGTTAAACCGGTATCCAATGCCAGTTTTCATTCCACTGACTTCAAAGTAAAACCACTGATGATAGTGATTGCTATTTATATCTGAGTTCAGAATCAGATCATATTCATTTCTGAAGATTAATAAAAACAAAGACCTCTTTTTTAAAAAAAGGAAATGGAAAGTTTCACATGTAAAAATAAAAGTTGAAGTATCTTACTTTCTGATTTGAATGACTTTGCGCAGGTTTCCAGATTCAAATTTTGAATTAAACTTCAAAACATCTGCTTCCTCAGGAACTGAATAACTAAGGGAAGAAAAAGGGATCAGAGTGACTAACAGAAACACATGTGGTTTGTTTCAGATCTCACTTAGCAATTGAAAAATTATTCTACATCTGCCATAAACAGAGCATGAGCAGTAGAAACAAAGTCACACCACAAGAACTAGTCAAACTGACATCTACAGAACCATCTTAAATATTACAAATTATATCATAGGTAAAGTAGAATATGTTAAAGCTATTCATTATTGTTTTCAGAAAATTAAAAGCTCACCTGGAATTGTCAAGGTCATACACAACTCTATCTATAATATCATTTTGATGAATCAGTCTTTCAATATCTTGAGAGATTTTTGTCCTATTAAAAAAAGAAGAATCCCCACTTAATCTGTTGCACATTATTTCCAATTATAAAAAGAGAAGAAACAATGAAAACTAACAAAATTAACATGAAGATAGTGACATAGACTTTCAGAGAGCCTTCAGCCTCATCCCCACTTATGTGCACAAATCATAAGTGTATTTATTAAACACCTGCATTCACAGCTGACCCATTCCAATATTTGTATGTGTGGGAATTGAGTTTTCATGCACAAAACCCAGTAGTTTTATCTTACATGAAGAATGCACCATTTCAAAATTTGTAGTAGCAGCAGGAATTACTCAAACATCACGTATGTTAATGCTTTAATCTATGACAGTACTTGATAATATTAGTAATTTTCATGAGTCCTATCATAACTAGAATTAAAATATTACAGAGTAGGTCGTGCAGTGAGTGTGTTAGTGCACGAGCTTTTCACCTCTGGACATCTAGGTTCATATATCGACTAGGTAACAAATAAGAATGAATTTGGTGATGTCAGCCAAATGTCAGGTGTATATTTATCCAGATCATTAAACCATTGCACAACTGGCAGTATCTAGGTCCTGGTTTGGAAAAGTAAGAATGTGTTGCAGTTCAAGAATGAAATATAGTGGCAGAGCTGTGGGGAAAAGCACAGAACCTGCAATAAGAACAAAAGGAGGCAGATTAACAACGAAGAACACAGGAACAGAGGTGTAAAGTACGTTCAGGCTGGAAATTCTGCTTAATGAAAACAAATATTGTTGACAAATGAGTAAAGACAAAAAAAAAAGGGAAGCATACAACTCTAGTACCTCTTAAGTTAGGAGTGACTTGGCAAAGTCACTCCTAGAAAAAAAAAAATAACAAGACATATCCAGCAACGTATTAATAAAATTGTAAGAAGTTCCACTCACCATAGTCTATTTGATCAGGGTTCAACTCAGGACAGATTTCTCACTTGATAATGAATTATTAAATTTCAATATGCCTCAGCTCTAAGTGGTTATAATACTTTTCATCATCATAGGAATTTTATCAGGATAAAATCCACTAATCAATGCAAAATATTTAAATACCATACTTATAACCACAGTACACAGAAAGAAGATGTGGCTTTAAGAAAGATATACAAAAAGAAAAAAATAGTAATGAATTTTAAGATAGTTAAAAATTAATAGATAGGAGAAACTATTTGAGGATTACTGAAGGAAAAATTAGAAAAAGAAAAAAAAAAGAAAAGAAAACTATTGACCTGGAGCTACGTGTTTATGGGTAGGTCCCCTGAGAATTCTGAATTACCTCACGACCACTTCTGCAGGAGTTTAGAAAATCCTAAAATGTGCAGCAAAAACAAACCTAAGGTTTATAGAAAATGAGAAAAAAAGCGTAGATATTTAATCCCTAATTTACAGGGGACTGGGTTAAGTACCAATTACCTTCTATAGAAGGTGGAATAATAAAACAATTATTCTCAAAAGTTATTCTGGCAACAGTTTGATGAAACATTTTCAAAACACCACGTATTGTCAAACACAAACAAAAATCCAAAAGTGCATCAAAACACAAGCTGGTAAACACTGAATCTCCTGAGTACTGCAAGACCAAAACACATTCATCATCCTGAAACACTTGCTTAAAATACAGTGAGGACAATACAATGCAATGCAATGTTTTGATTTCTAATAGCAACTTAGCTGACAAGGGATGTACTAATTGCTAGCAATAACATGAAGATAAATCTCACTGAAAGCCAATAGAATTTACACAAAGCTTTCTAGAAGACTTTCGATAGTTCCCTGTATCTTTGACAAAATCAGTTTCCGCTGCCTTTCTAGGAAGTACTATTACTAGGCTCTTTTTAAAAGGATTAGGCTCTTTTTAAAAGGATTATCCCCCCAGAAATTCATTACATTGCAGTAACAAGGCTAAGTCAATTAGCAGAAAAATGAACTGTTAGAATTGTGTACCTTAAAAAGTTGAAACAGGTTTTCTGAATCAAACTTAGCAAAACTACACAAAATTCCATTCTTGCTTCATTGGAGAAGTAAACGGTTACTTTCAATGCTAAAAATACACTTCATCAAATGTAAAATAAAGTTGGGGTTTTTTTTTAACCTATCATTATCTCAAGATTTAGAAATTAGCTCTATGTATAAGCTTATAGGTAGGTTTGTTGGTCAAAAGACAGTTAACACGGTGCTTTGGTTCACTTAAGAATGAGCACTAGAATGACAATTCCAATTTCTCCTTATTTTAAAGTTTTCACTCAACATAAGACTACTCAGGAGTATTCAAAATGATTAAATACTACTAAAACATGTGAAGACATGCAAAATTTTCTTAAAGTACCATTCTGTCCTGAGTTAGAAAATATCAAGTTCCCTTCCACATCAGTCAAATCAATCTAGAAAATAAGCATGCTTTACTCATGGGGCTTTTTATCAAGAATGTATGTAGTAACGGTAAAGTAATGTCATTTCTGTCTCAATACTGTAGCAATACTGTACTTTCTCTGTAGGAAAGATTTTTTTTTAATCACAGATATAAAACTCTGCCAACTATTACTAATTATAAGGATTTCATCTAGTTTTAAAAAGTCTTCTCATCTTAATATCTAAATGTAAATATGTAAAATCTCATTAAATTGAGACTCCACACTCACTTCAGTGCTGCTAAGGGTCTTCCAAGAGGACAACAAATTCAAGAAATTTCATTCACATACAAAAACACTTTTGTCTTTAACTCACAGACAATACAGAGAAAAGCTCCTAGCACAGAAGGTGATGATAAACTGTCAATACACCAACGTTATGTCCACAAGCTTTTAGAGTTATCATTATTTTTGCTTGATAAAGTATGACAGCATTCCTTGGCAAGTATAATACCTTGGCAAGTTAAACAATGAGTTAGAAAGCATCACCTTTCTAGCTTCCTTCTTTTGATCTTGGAAAAGATAAGTATTTTTAAAAATTACATGATCTGGATGGGATTCCTTCCAAGAAAAGGAATAAAAATAGAGGGCAGAAACTTAAGATTTTAGAAACTAAAATTTCAGAATTATAATCGGCAATTACAGAATCAAATTTTGTTTTTACTTGGTGGCTTTGTGTTGATTAATGCTAAGATGGCAGCTACCTACCTTTAAACTGATTTTCACTGAAAATTACTTCACATGACAGAGTAAAAACTGTACACATTAGAGGTGAGTTTCCAGTTATTCTCCACGTAAAGATTAATCTTCAAGGCAACCACAATGACCACCACCACAACACAGAATTTTAACTCACCTCTGCACCCCGTAAGGCCTTTCCAGAATAGGCTCCTTAAATGAGGGTGGCATATGGCCAAAATAATCTGGATAGGCCACTTCAGAATACTCAGGGACAGACTTTGTGTTTTTTACCATTTCAATGTAAAGATCAGAGTCATGAACTGGTGATATATCAGAAACTTCAAGAATCACTTGCTCCCCTGAAGAATTTGATCCAGAATCATCATCTTCCTCAGAATCCACCCCAGTACAGCATAGTTTTCCCAGCTGAACAGGTGATCCCTCAAAAAGGCTACTTTTGCAAGGTGAAACATGCTCACAAGGCTTACTGCAAGCAAGGGTGGTAAGGCTAGTTTTGCTTTCCTTCTTTATAGCACAACCTGTACCAAAATACTGTTCATTTTTTGCAGTGTTTTGCAGCGTGATTCTGTCCAAGCCTTTCACAATTTCTTGGCTCAGACACTGGCAAGTTGGGATCATCGTCTTTTGATCATTTTGCTGATGTAACCTACTGTCTTTGCTACTATCTTTTTTCGGCAATTCCAGGAAGGCTGGTCTTATATTGCATTCCTCTGTCAACAAAAAATGGCTCTCCTTTAGAGAAATTTCTTTTACTGAGGGGTTTGCTTCTGAACAGTGCTCCTCTCCTGCTGTCGGAACCACAATAGGCCCACACAGATTTGCATCAGATCGAAAAGGCTTTGGTTCCTTGGAGACTAAGTCACATTCCTAAAAGGAAACAGAAACAAACCTTGATTCTTGTTTTTTTTCTCCTCACAAGTAAACACTTCTTAGAAGATCATTTATCTTTCAATATACTTCACAACAGCCGAAGTGAAACCAAAGTTTTAATTAAAGAAGAAATTATCACTGTGATGTAAATCTACATGAATAAAGCAATGAAGTTCCATCTCTTCCGAGAAGATATCGTCAAAACAGTATAAAAATAAAGAACAAACATTAAAAAAGCTAATTGAAACTTTCAAGTCAATGCCATTCTCCAAATTTTGTTAATCACTGCTTTCATTAGGTACAAAACATATTAGCTTCAAGTAACTTAGCCAGAAACTAAATAACTCACTGTATAACTGTATAGCTCCCCTCATAAATAGCAAACATAGTTCTAGAAATGCTCTTTTTTTTTCTCCCCCTGAAATAACTAAATCCACAAAAAAGCATAAGATTACAATATATTCCAGATTCAACCTCTTATTATGATGGATGCACTAAGAAATCATATACTTTACCTGAAAGTTTTCCAAAAGTTCTGGGAAAAATTGCTCATACATTTTCAGTTCTTCTACTGGTCGCCCCAATTCCTGTGTAGGTTTCAGTTTATTTATATCAGTCTCAATGTCATCATTCTGAAAGACCAACAAAATAAATTAACCTTGTATTCGGAATGAATTAACTTCGAAAAATATGGTATTTGGCCTTTACTTCTGACATGAACATGGTTATGACATAGTTCACTATTATTTTAAAATTAGCTAAACTGCCCATTTGATTATGAGGGTTTAAGCAATTCTATTTTATTGGTCTCCCAAAACCCCAATTTCAATGGCAACATTACAAATTAACTTTCTTTTGTTTTCATACAGATGTATAATATACAGATATTAGACTACCCTTTGCAAGAGATAATGCATTATGCAGCCATTACAGCCTGAAAAGTAAAGATTTAATCTGACTGCAGCAAGAAAGGAATAGCATTCTTTTTAAAGATCCCTTCCACAAGACTTAGGAGGAGATAGCCCGAAATCAAAGCTTTCATCTCAGTTATTGGGCAGATGATTCAATCAATGTCTGCATCTGTATAATATTCAAACACAAAATAGGCAGAATGTCCTTTCACGTCCTGACTGGCAGCTGCAGAACAGAACAAGACCTTCCCAAAGCGGGAACAGAGGTCTTGTCTCTATCTATGGAGCTGGCCGAATTTCAAAGTCAACTTGACCTATAGTTAATACCCGCTCAGAATAATGGAAAAAAATGGAGTTACTCCTACAAACTGAGTACAGTCTGCAGCAGAGAGGATAGGACTGAGGTAAGCACACTGTGGGAACAAAACTTGAAAAGCAGTTTGCAGTTCTGCTCCATCCCTCTACAGCCAAATCAACTGTAAAACAAAAAGATTTTTCATAAAAATCTCAATGCAATCTGAGCAACAAAGGTTCATCTTTCCAAACAGCACACAATTTCTTTAAATTT